GGCAAAGCTAGTAGCCTGCGCATGAATTAGGTTGAAATCAATAGATTTTATTCAAATAATAATGTATTTAATAAATTATTTAAATATATGTATAAATATTGAATTTAAAATTCAATTATTATAGGCCAAAATCTTAAGATTCAAAATCAGTAAATGTAGGACCTAGCTTATTGTGACCTAAGGTATTTCCTGACTTGTCAGTTGCCAAATTATTGAAGTTTTTATATATTGAAACTTCAAAGCAGGTGCTTGATATTCCTATCAAAGTAGACAAATGGTCTATCCTGACTAGTCAGTTGTCAAAAAACTTCCTCCATTCAAATCAGTAAATGTAGAACACCGGACTGTTAAATTATTGTTATGATTTTTTAAAACTATTATGTTATGTATTGTATTGTTATCCTGTATATAAATTATGAGTGTCAAAATCAGGCCCAGCCCGACTCAATCTATTTTGGTTTAAGCTGGTTATTGATCCGCTCATTTGTTAGCTCAATCTATCTCAACCCAATCCATTTTAACTCATTAAAATTTGGGTTGATATGTAACCCAAACTGATTTTTGAGAAATCTTATCAAAATATTATTAAAAAGTTTTTTTTGAATTTATATGTTATATATACTTATAATAAAGAAAAATAAATTTGTTAGGTACTAAAAGCTTATAAAATAACAAATAAAACTATTAAAACTTAATAAAAATTAGGGGGGTTGGGTTATGACCTGTTGTTTTAAGTTGATTTGAAGTTATGATGATTTAATAAATTTTCAATCTAACAAGAGACTTGATTGAGGAAATACTGTGTACACGGAAAGGACAAATGACAGGTATCTAAAAGCTGTCAAATCTGACATGGTTGGTGCACGACTTTTTAGAGTAGCAGGGTCTCCGCTAATGGCTTTGTCCCAAGGGTTTGTGTCCATTTGATAATAGTCTCTTCTCCAAACACAAACCCAAGATTTGGCAAGCAAAGTTTTGAATTTCTGAAAATTCATAAGCTCACAAAGAAAAAAAGGTCATATTCAAGGAAGAACACTGCTCATGCTCAACAAGGGATCTGATGGAGTGCTGAAGCGTCTTTGTTGTATTTTAGGTTTGTGTCTTATGTTCTTATATTGTAAATCTACTCCTAAGTTAAAAAGGATAGTAGATCGGTTGTTTGTCTAATTTTTTAGTTTGAGTCGTACTAACTAGAGTTAGTTAGTCGAATCATCTATGTTTTAGTCAAACATTTTTATATCATTGTTTTGATGTTCTCTTGGGTAGAGTTGCCTAGGAGTGTCAACTAGAGTTAGTTGATGTGTGGGCGCAACAAAGTTGTTGTTTGTTTAGCTCTTACCGTCAAGATCTGAGTTGGTGGCTAGAGTTAGCCTTGTTGGGTTCTTAAAGTCTAGATCAACTAGAGTTAGTTGATTTAGTGGGCAATAGAGTTATTCCTTAGTTTCCTTTGTAGTAGAGTTGCTACAGTAAGGGGGAAGGGATTAAAGAGTTTTAATTCCTAAGTTGCAAGAGTTTGAATTTGAAACTTTGATCCGTTTGAGTGAAATGGAGTTTGGGTTGAAATCCTATGAGTACAGGTCATGATTTTCACCTCCCTTGAGCAAGAGGGTTTCCACGTAAAATCCTTGTGCCTGATCTACTTTGAGCTATTTATTTTCCGCACTATTATTCTGTCTGAGGACTTGGTCCAGTGATCACTGGTGGACGCATACATTCTAACATGACCTGTTACTAATTCGTTACCTAACCCGTTTTGATTCAACCTATTTTGGCCCAAACAAATTTGGGTTGGGTTATTGATCCATTTTGACCCGCCCAATGTCACCTCTCATATAAACGATTATGTTATGTATTGTATTTTTAAATTAAAATTTTCATCTTATCATTTAAATTTTGTGTATTCTCATAGTAAAAACTAATAATACTTTTAAATTATATATTTAAAATGACGAAAACTAAAAAAAAATATTATTAATTTCGGAATGAAAGTAGTATATATTAAGGGTGTGTTTGGTATGAAGGAAAATGTTTTCCTGGAAAACAAGCAGACTTTGGACTTATTTTCTTATGTTTGGTTGGTGAGTAGAAAATATTTTCCGAAATTGATTTTTTAGTGTTTGATTTATGAATGAAAAATATTTTTGAGAAAATATCTTTTCTTTTAAAAAAAAAACATATTTTTTTTTGGAGGGGGTGGGGGGCTGATGGGGGGGGGTCGCAGGTAGGGGGTGGGGTGAAAAAATAAAATTTTGAAATTTAAATATCTTTTAAAAACAAACTTCAATATTTTTTGGAGGGGGTGGGGGGCTGATATGGGGAGGGGGGGATCGCGGGTAGGGGTGGGGGTGGGGTGAAAAAATAAAAATTTGAAATTGAAAATATTTTTTAAAAAACAAATTTAAATTTTTTTGGAGGGGGTCGCTGGTAGGGGGTGGGGTGGGGTGGGGATGGAGTGAAAAAATAAAAATTTGAAATTGAAAATATTTTTTAAAAACAAACTTAAATTTTTTTTGGAGGGGGTGGGGAGCTGCTAGGGGGTTCATGGGTAAGGAATGGGGTGGGGTGGAAAAAAAATTGAAATTGAAAATATTTTTAAAAACAAACATAATTTTTTTTGGAGGGGTGGAGGTCGCAGGTAGGGGATGGGGGTGAAAAAGTTAAAATTTGAAATTGAAAATATGTTTTAAAAACAAACTTAAATTTTTTTGGAGGGCTGGGGTGAAAATAAAATTTTGAAATTGAAAATAGTTTTTTTAAAAACAAATTTAATATTTTTTTTTTGGGTGAGGGTAGGGGGTGAGGGTGGGGTAAAAAAAATTAAAAATTGTAGTTTAAAATACTTTTTTTATAAAAGCTTTAGAAAAAAATTTCAACCACAAAAAATTGAATTTTTCAAAAGAAAAATTGTAATTTGAAGTTGGATGAGAGTTTTGGAAAATGTTTTCCTTAAATTTGAGGAAAATGAGTTAATTTGGAAAACATTTTACCCAACCAAACATGAGAAAAATGGAAAATGTTTTCCTTCATACCAAACACACCCTAAATAATATATTTTATAAAATGTAATGTACATTAAGAAAATTACGATTATTAGAGATTAAATTAATGGTTTTATATGATTTTAAATATGTTAATTATAAATATTTATATAATATAAATAATAATAAAATAATCAAAAGTGAAATAAAGAGTATGAATAGTAGTATTGGACTCTCCAAATACAGAAAATAAAGGGTGTGTTTGGTATGAAGGAAAACATTTTCCGGAAAATGTTTTCCAATTTTCTCATGTTTGGTTGGGCTAAATGTTTTGGAAAATGTTTTCCAAATCAACTCATTTTCCTCAAATTTAAGGAAAATGACTTCCCTTCTAAACTTAAGGAAAACATTTTCCAAAACTCTCTTCCAACTTCAAATTACAATTATTTTTTTATTGAAAAAATCAATTTATTTTTGTCCCTACCCTCAAACCCCCCCCCCCCCCCCACCCAAAAAAAAAAATTATAATAATTTTAAAACTTATTTTTAAATTCAATTTTTTTACCCCACCCTCACCCCTACCCCCACTCCCTCCCAAAAAAATATTAAAAATTATTTTTAAAAGATATTTCTAATTTCAATTTTTTATTTTTTTACCCACTACCCTCCCCCCCTCCCCCGCATCAACCTCCCTATTAGCCCCCCAACCCCCTTCAAAAGGAAAAAAATTTAAGTTTATTTTTAAAAAATATTTTCAACTTCAAATTTTTATTTTTTCATCCTGATCCTCGATCACCCACCACCCTCTCCGGTCACACCCCCCCCCCCCCCCAAAAAAAAATAATTGAGTTTGTTTTTAAAAAATATTTACAAATTCAAAATTTCATTTTTTCACCCTACCCTCGACCCCCCACCCACCTCCTACCCCGCACCACCAACCCCTACCCCCCCCCCCCCAAAAAAAAAACATAAATTTTTAAGTTTGTTTTTAAAAAATATTTTCAACTTCAAAATTTCAATTTTTCATCCCTACCCTCGACCCCCTCCCTTCAGCCACCCCCTACAACCCCCCACCCTCCAAAAAAAATTTAAGTTTATTTTTAAAAACTATTTTCTACTCTAGTAAAAATAAAAGATATTTTTCAAAAATATTTTTCATTCATAAATCAAACACTAAAAATCTTTTCCGGAAAATATTTTCTACTCACCAACCAAACATGAGAAAATAAGTCAAAAATCAACTTGTTTTCGAGGAAAACATTTTTCCTTCATACCAAACACACCCAAAGAGTAAAATAGAGGTCAATTGGAGATGGTCTAAGAAACCACTTAATATCTGCAAATATTTCACAATGTTGATGTTAAATTAGATCTTAGACCTAACTTACATCCCAAAAGATAGCTCAAATGGAGGAGGATTGTTCAAACCTTATAAGGAGTTCACTCATCTCATTAACCACCAATGTGAGACATTTTGTCATTTTTTAACGGTTACTAACTTGAGATATATATATAAAATCCATAACCTTCAAATCTTGAGTATGCGTAAGAGATTCACTTATTCTCTAACCTATATATTATGCATCCATCATAGAAGTTGTACTTAGTAAAAAATAGAGCAGTACTTAACCATGGCCTATTATCTGGACAAGATCTTTCTTCTTTTATTTCTCTTCACACTTAGTTCTTCCTCAAAATCAGATAATATGACAGATATTGAAGCACTTTTTGTCATCAGGATCTAATACACATTCGATTATTCTCTTGCTTTATATTCATTACATCTTATTATTACTGTATTTCATTTCATTATTGTTTCGTTCTCAAGATCAATCTAACTCACGCGTCCTTAAACCACATTAATAAATCCATTTGTACCATTATTCAGATAAACATATACCTTACATTTTACCACGTCATCACCAATATGAGCATAAGCCAGATTTCAAAAAAGATAAATTTCCATTATTATTTAAAGCATAAATATTATTTCAGAAGATGTAGTACATTTTTTTTTTCTTCTAATAGACCATTAATCAACTGATACAGGTTGCATATTTTGTGCCTCTTTCCTGAGATCTTCATACAGAACAGATGACAAGTACCTCTCTCCAAAACTTGGATGTATTGTCTGAAATTCCAAAGGCAAAAAATTTAAGACAACTAATTAACATAACAAAATTGAGAGTCAACTAACATATTTTCATACCACTATGAGTTTTCCTTTGTTTTCTGGTCTGTTGGCGAGTCTAAGCGCGGCTACTGTATTTGCTCCTGATGATATACCAACCTATACAACAGAATGTTTGTTGTATGGTTAACAAGTTGAGGTCGGATATATGAATTCTTACTAAACAATATTTCGTTCTATAAAAGCTCATCTACTTGTACTATTCATATAATGCCATTTTAATAATGGAAAATAGATCAATGATGAGACAGTGAAAGATATGAAAACTCCATCTATTTAAAATTTTACCATAAGGCCTTCCTTCAATGCCAACTCCCTAGCCATGTTTACCGATTCTTCACTTGAAACCTGCAACAGAACAAACATAATTCATGTATTAATTGCCAAAAATGACTAATTGTATCAAAAATATTGGATTCAGTTGAACCTAGAGATAGTACACCCCATACACTTCTGGTTGTAGTTCTAATTAAACAAAACTCTGCAATTACATAATTCTTGTGCTATGCAAGATAAAGCACTAATAGTTTAGTGGTTGAAATGTATCCTACCAAGGTAAAGACAGGGGTTCGATCCCCAGATGATGCATTTTATAATAGTGAAATTTAAAAAACCAACATCCGGAGGTCAATATTTTCGTGTGTTCTGCTAGAGAAATGAAATCAAGAACTCAGCATACCATCAGAACTTCTTCCATTACATCCATGTCAAGGATATCCGGCTTGAATCCAACCCCATTGCCAGTTATTTCGTGAGGACCTGTATACAGTATTGACGTTCAGAAATCTATGTAGAACAAATTCTACTCATATGCCACAACAAATGAAAAAGAGAAAGAGACGTGTTATTTGAGACTATCTTTTTAGTTCTATAGTAATGATAGAAAGTGAAGTTAATTACCTGGTTTTCCACCATTCAATACATTGCTTTCAGTTGGCTCAATTCCATATATCTAGCAGGACAGGAGAAAGTATGTAAGAGCGATGATGTTTTGTTGTTTACACATTAAGCTCGCAATCACAAAATAAATTGATGGCAGGAAATACCTTGACATTAGGATTTTTCGATTTCAGATACTGTCCAACACCAGAGACTGTGCCTCCGCTTCCTATTCCCATGACAAAGATGTCAACATTACCTTGAGTATCTTCCCAAATTTCAGGGCCAGTAGTCTCAAAATGAGCCTGTGTCCAATGTCAATGTTGAATATTTGTTTTCGATGTAACAGAAAAGAATTTAAAATGCCCCTCCACTTTATGAAACATCTTTATTCTAATTTTCGTTCTACTTTAAGGTCATTCATAGCGGGACCAACCCTTGTCGAAGGGAATCAATTGACACTCAATCATTGAAAAATTACTCTACGTAGGTAAGTCAAATCTCTTTTTTTTTTTATGTATTTATATACTAATGTTGAATACCTTTGGCTTCCTCATGTATTTACTTATTTAAATTCTTGAATCTCCTTGGTGAAAATTAATCCTGGCTCCACCATCACATTAATCATCTCTTACTTGCCCTTGACTAATCAGAAGGAGCTTCCCCATAGACCCTAACCAAAGTGTAAGAGTAGAGGGTATGCATTTGAGCTTTTCTCTAAAATAGTGAAATCCACGTTGGAGCTCCGTCGAGGTCAAGGACAACTGCAAGATAATTTGCTAACGACAAAGATATGACACTTGGCCAAACTCAACCCAAAATCTAGTTTATGAGGGGAGGAGTGTCCAAGTCCATATAAACAGACCATCAGTCCATTCTCCAACCAACGTCAGACTCTAAACCCCCCACCCATGCTCAGGCCCAACTAGAGTGTAGATCGTGAGCCAAAACTGGGAATGAACCTTAGTCTAGTACCATGAAAAGCATGACACTTGAACCAAACTCAACCCCAAAAACTAGCTTTTGAGGGACCAGTCCATACCCTAACCAATGTGGGACTCTAACCTACTCTAAAAATATGATAATTATAGAAGAATAACATATCATAAAATACAATATAGGGATAAACTTGAACATTTTCCTATAATGGAAAGTCTAGTGATAGATGAGGGGATGGGGGAGGGAGCAAAATGAAGATGGAAAATTACTTACTTGAGTATTAGCTGGATTGGAGAATTGTTGAAGCATATAAGCATTAGGTGTGGATTCCAAAAGATCATAAGCTTTCTTAATAGTTCCTCCCATTCCTTTAGTTGGATCAGTGATCACTAAATCAGCTCCGAATGCTCTCATGGTCACCCTCCTCTCCAAGCTTGTATATGATGGCATTGTCAAAATCATTTTGTAGCCTTTCATGGCAGCCATAAATGCCATACTTATTCCCATATTCCCTGACGTTGGCTCGATTAGTGTTGTCTGCATATCATCCATAAAATATATAAGACATAAAACCTATGCAACAGCCAACAGGTATCTATCTGGTTCATATTATCTGTCTTTTAAGGTTTTCGTACACCTCTTAAGAAAGAGCCATGTTTACTTACTTTACCAGGGGTGATTAATCCTTTCTTTTCTGCATCATTGATCATAGCAAATGCTGGTCTGGTGGAAAAGGAAAAACTTTATTTCAAATTTCACAATAATGAAACATCCACTTAATATTTAGAAAAAAATCAAAAGAAGTAAAAATGATAATTTACCTATCTTTAATACTGGAAGTAGGCTGCATCATTTCTTGTTTAACAGCAATATAAGCACCACATCCTTCACTCACTTTGTTAAGATAAACCAAAGGTGTTTTCCCAATGAGCTGAATTGTGGAAATATTACAAATCAATCATATAATTTGTATAAAAGAAGAAAAAAATAGTGTTATCTTGAACGTGATAGCATTATCTAAATTTTGGTTACAAAGAATTCCCTTGTTAATTAATCACCTTAAAAAGGAATTTCAATTAATTAAGATAAAGTAGCCGAAGTGCAACGTCTAAATAATTAGTTAAGCACTAATATTACTAGTATATAGTATAATAATATATACAAATTTTATAGGTGACTAAATACCTTGGTACATTATTTGTATTTGAGTATTTTTTTAATAAATACCAAAGTACCACATAACGAATATCAATTTTTTTTTAAATGCATACCATATACTATTACACTCAAATCAGTGTATCAAATTTTTCGATTTCGGTATGATATTGATTTCTACCCTACCATGCCTATCATAAGTATAGATCGCGGTGGAATGGTTTGAATTCCTCCACCTTTATCTAGATATCTCAAACTCGAATCATAAAAGGGTGTTTGGATTGACTTAAAAGTTAGTCAAACCTATTTTTAAATCAATTTTTGACTTCTCAAAATGTTTGACAAATATAAAAAAAAAAAAAACTTAAAATAAGTTAGAAAGTGTTTGACAGAATTAAAATGACTTAAAATAAGTTTAAAATTACTTAAAATAAGTCAAAAAACCAAAAGTAGGTCTCCCAAAAATCATTTTGGTTTGACTTTTTTTATTTTTGACTTTAAAACTACTTTTTTTAAAATTAATCCAAACTGGCTCTAAAAATCATGTTAAGAGTGTTGGCTCCAAAATAAATCTTACAATAGATGTGTGATTCAAATTTAATCAAGCTTCGTACCAAACACCGTGAACCACCACCCCCTCCCCTCCCCGCCCCTCCCAAATATAAAAATTGTCTTTTTCTTCTTTGCTTCGATTAAAGTGAACTGACTACTTTCGTACTACCCCATTTTTATTACATGTGATACACTTTGATGGTATATAAAATTTAAAAATAAAATATTTTGTTTCTAAAATTTATTATCTATAAAAAATTTAAAAGTTAAATCATTTTAAAAAATAAATTAATAAAATATAAAACATATTAATTGAACAGGAAAGTATTGGCCCAAAGCCCCATACAGGCTTCCGTCACTGATTGCACATGCGGCACTATTTTCTGTTTTGGTTCTTTGACTTTCAGCACCATTCATAAAAGAATTTGTATTTTACCTTCTCATAAAAATTACTACTAGTACTTACTATATTAATATGACAATATTCTTTTAAATTTATTTGAAAAAATAATTAATTTTATTTTCTTATTCTTAAACTTGGCATCTATTCAAATTCCGCCACTAATAATAATATATTTTGTAATAATTTAATTTTAAAATATTTATTTAATTAATTTTGTTTTATTTAAATTATAACTTTGAAAAAAAAAATTCTTTCTTAAATTTTGTGTGCAATTAAGCTGTTCTCTTTATTTTTACTAGTCATATTTAGACTTAGCCATTCATTAAAAATATAATATTTAATATGATTATTTTACTAAACTATCTCTATTAATTGATATTTAGTATTATATCTTGAAAAATAATTTAGAAATAAATAATTAATACTAAAAATAAAATATAAAAACTATATGTTTTTGAGATGTGAAAAGTGATAAATGAAAATAAAAATATATTTTTAACATAACAAACACATAAAAGTGAACGAATAAAATAGTCTTTCTGTTCCTATTTATATGTCGTCCTTACTAAAATCAGATGTTTTAAAATATTTGTCATTTTACAAAATCAATACATAAATAACATTATTTTTTGTATTTTACCCTTGAGAGTTATTAGCTCTTAAAAGTATGTATTTGACTAACACAAAATAACTAAGTAATTAATTAATTAATTTTCATTGATCAAATTAATTAATTAAAATAAAATAATTTATGTTCATTGATTAAATATTTGATTTTAAATGAACACTAAATGAGAATATAATGACAAATTCACTTATTTTCTTGAAAAAACGTCAAATCTAAAATAAGGACAATAATAAAACGGAGGGAGTAGATTAGAAAAAAAAAACAAATCTTAAAAGTTCAAATAGTACTCCCTAAGTCCAATAATAGTTATTCAATAAATAATAGAAATAATATTACTATTTTATTCTTTGACTTTATTGAATTTAATATTTTAATAAATGTATTAGATAATAAATAATATTTAATAACAAGGTTAAAATAAACATAAAAGTTAAATTATCTCTTGATTTTTTAAACTAAACAAATATTATTAAACAACTATTTTTAATAGAGTATTCATCTATTGTTGGACGGATAGAGTATATGTCGTTTTCTCTTGGACGTGTGCCACTATAAATGATTTATTTTAGATTAAAAATTTCAATAACTCTTTTACTCTTTTTCTCTTTAATTTCGTGTCCAATTGAAAAGGACAATTTTTTTTTTATATAATTATATTCTTAATTAATTAATTTTGAAAACAATAAAACTTCTTGAAAATCATAATTTTTTAATTTATTCACTTCATAATTTAATAAGGATAAAATAATGTATTCACTATATTAATTATTATTGCTAATTAAAAGTAGACAAGTAATTTTATGTTATACCAGAGGACCAAAGAATATACAAATAGAGAAAGTGAACAAAAATGATGTGGGTCGTGCGCGACGGGTAGCAGGTTCAATGGTGTATTCAAGTAAATTGGATAATTAAAAGGTAATTCGGCATTAAATTCAAAAACTTTCACAAATTTTAGCCAAACAGTATAACAGATTATACATTAGAAGAGCAAATTTGACGCTTTTTCTACAGCTCCAGTACTGAAAATAGGAAGAAATAGAAAGAGAAAGTGAAAATACTAACTTGAGAAACTTGAGTTTTGATGTTTGTACCAGGAAGGTACTTTGGCAGATCTCTTAGCCTCTGAGCAAATGATGATTCACTCGAATAAAATCTGCTACTAAATGATCTTCTCCTTAGTAAGGACGCCATTGATGAAATTTGTTAGAAGTCGTAAATGCCTACTCACTACAATTTGTCTTCAAATTTGAAAGATAAGACACCCCTTTTATAATGGAAAATTAACATAAGGGACCCTCTTACCACATCTCTAAGGTATATACAGATGAATGCTTCATCCATCCTAATTATATATCTATTTTCAAAGTGTCACACTTGTTAAAAAAATAATTATTGTCATAGTGAATTTATTATTCTATCTCTATTAATTATAAAGTGGATGAATTAAAAATTTAAATTTTCAAGAAGTTCTACGTTTTCCAAACTAATTAATTAAGAGTATAATAAGTAAAACTAATTTGTCTTTTCTTGATTTATCAAAATTGATAAGTAATTAGAAACAACTATAAAAGAAAAAGTAGACAAGTAATTAAGGACAGATGAAGTATTTTCTATAGCTAAAAATAGAAATTTAGTATTACTTTTGTTTAAAAAAGAATGACCCAATTTTTTTTTAGTTTGTTTCAAAAGAATGACATATTTCTTTGTTTGATAACACTTTAACTTCAACTTTTCACGTGACATGTTTAAGACCACAAAATTAAAGGATATTTTTATATATTTGATATAACTTTAATTTAGAACCACAAAATTAAATATTTTTCTTTCTTTTTTTAAACTTCGCTTCAAGTTAAACTATGTCATTATTTTCAAAACAAAAGGAGTATAATTTTCTTAGCATGTACACACTCTCTCTATATTCTTTTTTTATTTATCAATTTTGAATATTGCACGCATTTTGAAAAATATTACTCCCTTTATATGTTATTATTCTAGGTTTTACATCTTTTAAAAATTAATTGTACGATTATTTAGTGATTTCTTAAAGTCAATTTTTTAAGAAATGAATACAAATTAATTTATTTTAATTAATTAAATTGACCAATGAATATGTATTAATCATTTTTTTTTATGTTAATCAAATTTATACTTTCAAGACTAATAGTTCTCAAGAGTAAAATAGAAAAAATAAAGTCATTTATTCATTAATTTTGTGAAATGACAAATATTAAGAATAATTTACTTTTAACAAGGACGGCATACAAATAAGACCAAAAAAAGTAATCAGTATAAGAATTATGTCACCACTCATGATATTCATAGTAATTGATATATAATCTTAAATCATAAAAGATAGTTTAATAATTAATTAATTGAATTATAATATGAAAAAAATATATTTTTTAATATATTAGAGTGGAAGGTGGACCTGTGATGGCTCAAGTGGGCATAACAAGCAGTGTATGCCGCCGCTATAGTCATTGGTCAAACCCCAATTTCAACTTTTATTTCTCCCCAATCTAGGCCAACCTACGTGCTATTGTCTTCATTCCTAATTATTTATTCATTTTTAAATTGACAGGTTCATAAAAAAAAAAAAAATTATTTGTTCATTTTTAAATTGACACATTCATTAAAGAAATAATGATTAATTTAGTACTTAAATTTTATACTTCTATTATTATAAAGTAGATGAATTAAAAATTTAAATTTTCAAAAAGTTTTATTTTTTTCAAAAAAATTAATTAAAAATATAATAGATAACAAAAATTATTAATTTTTATTTGTCAAAATAAAGTAAAAGGAACAGATAAAAATGAAAAAAATAGATAAATAATTAAGGATGGAGGGAGTACTACTACACATTATTATAGTTATTAAATATTAGTATCACATTCATTGCAAGGTTCTTTTTTCTATACCGTCATTCATTACAAGTTGAATGTTTTACTTTCTTTGTCTTAAAAAAATTGTAAGGTTCATTTAACTATCCGAAGGTTCGGACATATGAATCATAAATTGACATGTTTTACTATTTGTAGCATATCCAATGAACATACAATTCAAAGTCTTAGGTTCTATTTTGACCCGTTTGAGAATAGTTTCCTCATTTTCATTTCTCATATGGAATAGACTATATTGGAAATTGTTAGATCTCATCTTTCAAGAGTTATTGTTTGTATATACTTTACAAGCAATTCTCTATCAGGATACAACAAAGCCTGAACAAACAAAACCTTTTGTTGCTTCCTTTCTTAAAAAACAAAAGTTTTTTTTTTATTTGTTGCTCCCTTTCTTAAAAAAACAAAAGTTTTTTTATTTATTTGTTGCTCCCTTTATTAACAAATAAAACTTTTGTTCCTCTCTTTCTGAATAGACAAACTTTTTGTTGTTCTCTTTTGCTATAATGATAGCACCCCCACAAAATTTGTGCTAAACCTGAACTTATAAGTATGACATTCAACATTTCCTTCAAAGTTCAATTTTTTGCTGTCAACAATTTCATTAGATTGAGGTGAGTATGTGTAGTAATTTGATGGATGATTCCATTTTTCCAAATATATTTCTACAAAAGAAGATTCATATTCTCCACATCGATCACTTCTAATCATGACAATCTTTTTATCCAATTGATTTTCAACTTCAGTTTTATATTGTCTATATGTTTCTATTGTTTCATCCTTACCATTTTGCAAATAGACATAACACTATCTAGTGCAATTGTCAATAAAATTTATGAAACACTTTTTCCCACAAAGAGATGATGTTGACTTTATATCACAAATGTCAGTCTAAATTAATTATAAGGGATTAAAATTTCTTTCAACAACCATACTTGACATTTTGATTTATTGCACTAGAAGTTAGGCAAAACTTCTAAGTTGATAAGTTTTTGCAAGGTTTTGTAATTGACATGTCCCAAGCGTTCATGTCACAAACAATTTGATTCAAGCAAGTAAGATCAAACATAAATATTGAGTTTGAAAAGACCTTCCGTGAGGTAACCTTTTCCTACAAATATTTTGTACTTTACTTTCTATAACTCTGTTAAATACATATATTGTTTTAGAATCAGCGCCTTGTCATATGTCCTTTTCAGAAGGACCTTTCCATAACATTCAATTTGTTATAGAATTACCTATGACCATAGTCTCATCAGTTCAATAAGGGCAGTATGACCCAAAGATTTGCTTTACAACACAAACAATACAAGTCACTTTTCACCAATGTTCATGTCTATACAAATAAATTTATTTTAATAAACATATCTTTTCATGAAAAATCACAATATTTTAAGTGACACTTTTTTCATCAAAGAATACAATTTTTTTGAACAAGTAATACAATTTTGTGATTTTATACTAGTCATAGCATATACTAGTAAAGAGAGACTCAACGACCACGATATCAAATATACTTCAAGAATTTTGTGGGTCGACCATAATACAAGAATGTCATTAAATTTCATATCTTGTACTTTCAAATTTAAATTAGATAGTAAGTCTAATTTTGTCTTTATCACAAGTAAAGAACCCACATTTTAAATAGGCGGATTGACCTGGGAGGCCCCTGTACTTGGCTTCGTTTGTCACATAGGCCCTTCTACTCACGACTTTGCCAGATGAACCCTCAAACCCACTGAAACACAGCATTTTAAACCCTTTTGACTTCGCGTGCACTTCAAACACACAATAAAAATAACACTTCATCATCCATGTTAGATTTTTAATGACACGTCATTTATTTTTAATTTATTTAAAATTTTCAATTTCTTTTTCACTATGTTTCTCCCTCACCATCTCTATCCTTGACTACCTCCCTCCATTTTTTACACCAAAATACACCATTGCAATCTTACATCCTTACCTGAAAAATTGCCTTAAATAACTATAATCCTCCGTTCTTCTCCAAATTTTCACCGTTCACAACTTTCTGTCATATTTTTTTGACCAACGTCTCTGTCCACCACTTGAACCACCATGAATCCGTTTTCTCCATTATTGCCGACGAACCACACTAAAGTATCTGAATATTTTCTAACACTGACGAACCACACTAAAATATCTTAATATGCTAACATCTTCTTACAATTTTACACAATACATTTCACCTAATTTTACAAAAACATACAACAATCACTCTTCACTCTCCAAAATCACCGGATCTTTGTCACTTCACCACATGTAAATTACCCCTCCCCTGTTTTCTTAATAGCTTCTCTCCACATAATTTTATCTCACAAATACTGAAAAAATTACAATTTTTGAAAGAGAGAGAAATGGAAATTGGATTGGGGAAGAATGAGTGGGGGAAGAATGGGTGGTAGTAAGAGAAAAGAAATTGGGGAAAAAACAAAGAGGGTGACATATTTTACATTTATTTATTTGTTTTGTTTTTTTATTCAATTTTTCTTTATCTTTTAATTACTTTTAGTCCAAAATTTTATGTTTACGCTCCTTTAACACGTGAAATCACGTGTTTGTTTCAGCTCAAAGATTAAGTTGCTATGTAGACTAGGTCAATGGTCAGAGGGGTTTAAAATGCTCTATTTCAGTGGGTTCAAGGGTTCAATTGGCAAAGTAATGAGTAGAAGGGTCCATGTGACAAATAGAGCCAAGTATAGGGGCCTCCCAGGCCATTACGCCTTTTAAATATGTTCTCAAAAATATTTTTCAAGTATTTGAAATTATTTTCCACATATTTTTTCCATGCTTTCAAATTGTATACCATCAAAATACATATTGGCAACACGAAACCTTTTTTTGCAGTTTAATCTATAGAAACACCCATTGCATGCACAAAAATCACTAATTTTATGTCACTAGTGTTTTTTCCCCTTTTTGTCAGAATTAGACAGACCACTTAGTATTTAAAATACTAATAATAAAGATTCAATCTTTATACCACTTGTGTCTAGTTTAACGATGAAGTTTTCATATTCTTCTAATCGTTAACCAAATGAACCTTGAATTCTAATGAAGTTTTTATATTCTTCAAATCAATTTCACATTTAGACAGAGTAGTAAACCAAAAAGGTTTTAATCTCTAGAAACCTCAAATACAACATTGTTTCTAGCTAACGATGAAGATTTATCTTTTTCAAATCATTTAGCCTTAATATTTCTGACGAAGATTTTGTACTCTTCAAGTCAGAATATTCATTTAAACAGAGTATTTAAAAAATTGGTCTTCAAATCAATGTACAATCTGATTTGTTCGTGAAGTTCTTAAATGCTTCAAACCAAAGGAGTAAAAAATCAGAAGATTTTAGTCTTCGAAAGTCATACACAATCAAATTTCACATGGAATAGAAAATTACAAAAGTTTTTTTTCTCCTCTTAACAGACTACACATTAATAATAATAAAGATATATTCTAAGATCATCATATAATAAACATCTATCCTAACATTTATTATGAAATAAATCTCATAACTTATAAATGATAGAAAAATAATAATCAAGGGAAATAAAGATAGAACCTGAATTTACCCCCATTGAATCATATTCTATTTGTCAGCAATGATTCCATGCAAGTCACTTTTCTTGCTAATTTTTTTTCTTTCTTTCCCAATTTCCATCATATTCCAATTTTCCTTAGAAGACATTGAATTTCAACGAGAAATTAAACTCATGTTCAAATATTGTTAGGAGACAACATCTGTTCATAGTTATATAAAACTAAGAATATAGGAAAAATAATTAAAGTACACATCTTAGCCTTTGTGCACAACATAACTTTTCTAACTGAAAAGAAAACTAAAGGGGTTCAATGCTTGAATGCACTTGGAAAGAAAATAAAAATAATCTTACCCATCCAAGAAAAACTTACTACATAAAATATACTCGAACATATTAAAGTAGTACTAATTCACCCCAAATCTCTTTTATCATATGATAAAATAATTCTCTTTTTCTTTCTTTTTTCCAATAAAAAGAACACAAAAGTAATTTCTTTACCACTGAAAATACCAATAATTAGATATCTTACGCGTTATCTCATGTATTCAGATTAGCAAACAAGAAATAATAAAAGATGAAAAGAAAAACAAAGAACTATCCGAGTCCACATAACTCACTGTGTCCTTAAGAAATTTAATCCCCTCAAGTACTCGAGGTTGCAGATTAATTTCTCCCAAGATAAAACGGATTAATCATAAAGAAGTAGCGGTACCTCAAACTTCAATAATTTCAATGAACTCAAAATGACAGCAACGAATCACATACACAGACACGACCGATCGATTTTGTTTTGTAAGAAATGTATGCAAGAGAAGGGAAGAATTCGATGCAGAAAAATGAGAGAAAACCTCTCTATTTATAGCCAACAAAGGGTAAAGATCACAACTCTTTGGAAAGAAGACAACCTTTCACAAAGGTCACAACACTTTGGAAAAGGCACAACCTTTCAAGCGGTCACAACCCTTTAGAAAGGACACAACCTTTCATAAAGGTCACAACCCTTCGGCATAGTCACAACCCTTCAGGAGATTCACAACCATTCATTTCCTGTTCATACCTTTAAAAGCCAACAGTAACTAGTGGACACATACATTCCAACAACTTTCAACAACATACTACACTCGATCATGATCAAAATGCTTCAAATGATGTCTAACCGGAACAAAAATTGAGAATGCATAAGAAAACTTTTATACGAATTTTCTCTGAAAAACAGGGCACACTTAGGCTGCTGTTAGTTTTGCTTTTCACGGCATGTTTAAACAATGTAAGTTGAGCTCATTTAGAAAATCTATTCATTTTTTAAGATTGTAGTTAACCAATGGATTACTACTGTTACGGTCTGTAAAGAGTGAAACTTTTGAACTATTTGAGTTTGCTCTCTTGACTATTTTCCAATGTGCTGAGAACCCATCAAAATAATTTCCAATGGTACAAGTTACATTTGTTTAAATTATTATAAAGTCATGATCATAATACTTTTTCTGTGTATAATATTAATATTTGAATTCATGTTTTCGACTACTTTTTTCTTTTTCTCAAGTTGATATTTCCCTTTTAATTCTTTATTATAATGTGAGGGTTGAGTTTGTGGTGGGAAATTATGGGTGTTCTTTGGCGTTTGTAACTGAGGGTGTGTTTGGTATGAAAGAAAATATTTTACAATTTTCTCATATTTAATTGCACATATTTGAATAAAAAATTGCCAAGGAACACATTTTCCTCTAATTCCTGGATAATGACTTCCTTAAGGATCAAAGGGAGTAAAAAAAATCACTTATTTTCATTCGGCAATCAAACACCAAAAAATAAATAAGAAAATCACTTATTTCTAGAAAACATTTTTCCTCCTAATGAACGCACCCTAAATATAATCATTCAATAGTATTTAAAAAAAAATTAATATATGTACTTTTATTTCGTCAAATTTAAAGTTTATGTTTCATATTATTGAAAAAAAAACTCTTATATTGTTTGGACTCTTGAAAAATATTGATGGGTGTGTCGAAAGAAAGTGATACAAATTGGAAAGAAAGTGATGAAAAAAATGATCATCCGGTCCACTCATCACGATTATTAGAACGGTAGTTTTAGGTATATCTACATTTTTATTGTCATTATTATTGGTGTATGTCATTACTTATTATTTTGTAATGTGTCTTAAGGTACCCACTAGAGTTATTAATTATAGGATCTGCTACGTTAGCTCCACTTGCCACAAGGACAAACATCAAACATACCTGCATAGACGCCATAACAATGGAGATATTTTAATTGGTATTGCTTGTGTTGAGATTTAATAACTCAATTGTATTATGTTATTTATATGTTACCACATGCGATAAGTTCTTACCTGTGTTATTAAGAGGTTATGAATAGATATTCAAACTGTTATAATTCAATCCTCTCTTTTGTGTCATTTGAACATGTGCAAGGATTTTAACCATAACAGAAAATTAATTAGTTGAGGTCCTGAATAGCTTAATGATTCTTTCGGGCAATTTTATGTAACAATGATGTAGTGTTGGGTCCGTGCTAGTACGGACTATACCCCTAGTATACAAAAAAGTGAAAGAAAATAAACATTATTTTTTCTATATCATTACACATATCAAGTTAAGAATTAACTTGGTATGTGGAAGAATTAAGTTCATGTCATTATGTGTCTACATGACATAACAAGCATTAGGGTTGTCATCACTGAACCACTGAGGGCCATATACATAATGAACAAAGTATGGAATTTCACCTTCCTTGGTTTTTGCCTCTACTTTCTTCACTTCCTTAAATTCAATAATTTTTTCTTCAATTTTTACTTTTTCTTTCACTACTTCCTTCTTTTCCTCTTCTTTCTTCTTTACGATTTCTGCGTGTTTGCCAAATGTTTTTGTTACATACGTCACAAGTTTTTCAGGCTCAAGTATTGTCTCAACTGTTATAGTTTGAGCTTTGAAGTTTGTTTTAACACTATATATACCTGCAAACAATAAATGCATATAAAAATAGATATTATCGACGAAATAATATATCTCTGAAAACATAAATCTTATTGGACTATATATTTTTTACCTTTGTGTTTGAGTAACCTCCTCTCTAGATCAACTTCACACTTGTTGCAATGCATGTAAACTTTCAATGTCGTTGTATTAATAGTTTCCTTCGAGATTCAATAGAAACAACCCAATTGACTCAATTCCTAAGTAAATGTTTGATAAATAAATATTTACGTAAAATAATATTTTACTGTTCAAAATTTTGAAGAAAAAAAAAAGCACAATATTCAAAAAAAAAAAAAAAGGATTAAAATGTCTTTAACATATTAGAAATGGCTTTAAAATGTCTTTTTTTTGCCTATTGAATTAAATTTACCTCTCTTTCTACCTATGGTCTCCTTTTAACTTATTGGATCAAGTTTGCTCCTAACATTGTTTATAAGCTTTAAACTATTCTTCCATTAATGACAATTATATTCTACTTAACTAAATTTTAATTGACCATATTGCCTTTATTTATTGGTCTACCTAAAATTCTAACCCAACCCATCCATAACTCAACTTGACACAAAAACCGTTTTAAATTATTAACACATCTAAGCCATTATTTTTAAATTACTAACACATACAAACAATAAGTGATTAGTATGCTCTAACTGCTCCAATAAATCAAAGTACAACCTTCAAATATTGAAGGGTTATGAACAATCCTAGCCAACAATTAGACATTTGGTGAGGGTTTTTACCGAAAGGAAATTTTAAAAAGTCGACAAAAATCAAAACTGAAAACCTGACTTTTGTTGATTTAATTTGATTTAAGAGTTTAAAAAGTCAACACAATTCCTTTGACTTGGTAGTTGAGAAACCTAAATGATCAATAAATAAAGGCCACATAATTGAATAAAAATTAATAAAAAGTAATATAAATATGTCATTGAAGGGACAATTTTAGACCTGTAAATAACATTCGAAAAAAAAAATGGATCCACCGGATGGAAGAATGGCAATTTTAAAGCATTTATAAGACGTTAAGAGCATTTCTAATCATGTAGATAAAAAGGCAATAAATTTGATCTGTTAAATAAAAAGGAGAATGAATTTAATCTAATAGGTAAAATGAATACAATTTTAGACATTTCTAATATGTTCAGAATATTTTTTGTAAAATATTACTATATGGAAGTGTCCACGGAAACTTGAATTAATTATATGAAAATTTGGATTACTGATATAAAATATAACAAATATTATTTTTTAAAATTATATTGCCATCTGAAATTGCATTAAATGAAGAGAATTAATATTTGATTTTAACTTTTATAGATTGATCAATGCATATAAAAGAATTTCTATATTCTCAAATTATTTTAAAAAATAAATAAACCACAACTGTTAATAATTAGAAAATAAAAAAGGTGATTTGGTGTAGCATATGAAGCATACCAATGTAAATAGTATTTACATCATGACTTATGCAATAAAATTTTTATACTGAATTATAATAATTTAACATCATGAATATTAAGTTATAAATAAAATAGATACCTTTTTGAGTTGGTTTGCGTTTTCAATCTTGGCCTGTGATACTAAGTGGACTTTGTTTTTAGTCCATTTCTGTAAACGTTGGTGAATTTTGTTTGCGTCAATAGCACCTTTTACTGTAACCTCATCTTTCTCGAATTTCACATCCACACTATGAACTCCTGACCCATGTGGCTCATATTGAATATCATGAAAATACATAAAAATTATAACAAATTAAATCAAAAGAAATATATAAATGTTGAGTACCTTGAGTTGACAAGAGTGGTTTTCTAATATCATGTGCACATTTTGGGCAGTGAAGACCAACTTTGTAAACTGCACTAGTTACTTCTATTTTCTTCTCTTCTTTAGACATGGCATTCAACATTTACTACAAACAAGAGAATCAACAATTTCAGATTAATAAACAACAAAATTGGTTGGTGGGAATAATTAGCCGATGGTGGTTCACTAGTATGTGGAAGCTTCAATTAAGGGAAAACCTCCAAATTTAATATATATACATGAAATAATATCTTTGTGAACACCTAATTATTTACTAAACTTAAAAGGATTTTCACCATTTTTAATACTTAAATATTATTATTTTTGTAGGTTTATATTTGAAATAAATGAATAAAAAAAATCTGAAAATTACAACAAATTATATGCTCTCTTTATATTTAAATTTTACCAGTCTAAAATAATAGTCCTGAAAGCAAGAGAATATCCAATGCATGCCGATAGAGATCAAAGAAGAACTATTAGGTGACTCGTCAATGGTTTCTTCTTGAGTGGCGAGATCTTATATAAAAGGACTCCATATTTGAATCTATTGCGATCCGTGAATATCCAAGAAGTAGACAATTATGAATGAGGTGCATTCAGGGGTATGTGGCCCACACATAAATGGTTATGTTCTAACAAAAAAGATTATTCGGGCAGGGTACTATTGGTTGACCATAGAGCGAGATTGCTTCCGCTTTGTTTGTAGGTGTCATCAATGCCAGATTCATAGCAACTTGATTCACTCACACCCTTTAGAGTTGCACCCTATGTTTGCTCCATGGCCTTTTTTTGCTTGGGAAATGGACGTTATTGGGCCAATCGAGCCAAAAGCTTCTAACGGGCATAGATTTATTCTAGTTGTCAACGACTACTTCACCAAATGGGTGGAAGTTGTTACTTTCAAATTAGTCACCAAGAAAGCAGTGTTGGACATTGTTCAATCGAACATCATATGTCATTTCAGCATAAAGAAAATCATTATTACTATAAGATCCCGTACTTTTTTCTCTATTCTTGCATAATATATGTGGTGTAGTATGGCATGGTTATATGAGGTGTCTATGACTTGGTATCGTATGTTGGAAATTAAGATTGAAAATGAGTGGCAATATCAAGGAACTAAACTAAAGTTTTAGGTCAAAGGTACCCCTCAAACAAAGTTCGGGATTAAGGAAATGGCTCGAGTAGTACTTCGCCCGTTTGAAAGGTTTAAATTATCCCATACCTTGGGAATAAGCCTATGAGTGTCTAACATGCTAAGCATAGTGAGATACGAGGTATTATAATAGCACAAGGTTCGTATGTTAAGTTTTGAAGTCAAGAAAATTAGCGAAACTAAGGTCAACAAAAGTTATCGAAGTTTCTCCAATAATATTTTCTTAACTTTGGGTGAAATGTCTTAGATGTTTTCTTCCAATATATAAAGAGTTACAAGACCCATAACCTATAAAATTGAAGGCCTACGAGTCTAGTTTGCAAAGCACAAAACCCCGTATCCAACCGACATCGGAGTAAAAAGTTATGAGGATTTTACTGCGGACTGCCTGGGCGGAATTCGAATTGCGAACCGCATCGGGTCAAAAATATGGTTTGTCGGCTTATTCGACGTTTTAACCTATAAAAGCTTCTCTTTTCACTTCCTAACAAGAAACCAAACTGAAATGAAGGTTCTAATGGAGTTATTTCATGATGAAGGTTAGTTTTTAGCGATTTCTACCATTAAAGGTTGCCCATGTGCCTAGAAACGTGATCTCTACACGTGGCAATTATTTTTGCTGCGTTTGGAGCTAGTTTTTGAATATATAAATTGGTAGTTAGTGCTTTTTCTTCAAGTTTTACACTTGGTTTGCTAAGTTAATCATCTCCGGACTCTTTATGATTGTATTTACGAAGTTCTATGGATGTTTCGTAAAGTTGGGGTCATATGGCAAATTGATACGCTCAAATTACACCTCCCTAAAGAAGTATAAGCGATCGTTATCAAGTAAAGAACCCAACTTGGAGGTTGGGGTCGATCCCACGAGAAATATGGTTTAGACTTAAACTTAACTTACGATTATATTCTTTTAGTCAACGCATTTCCGAAACAAGTAAGTAAAAGGGTGGGGTGGGGTGGGGTGGGGGGGGGTTTGTGAACAAGTAATTGATTGTTGTCAAGTAACAAGTGAGCAAGATTCAAACTTTGTTGTTATCAATGAGAGAAAGTAACTAGGGTGTACGTGTTCTCCATAAGCTCATAACGTGGTAATCCTAGTAATAGTAATTCTTTCCTAGTGTATTACATGTAAAGTGATAAGTTAGGTATCTCTAATTCCTTGGTCCAGCAACTAGAGAATTTCACTTCGCACCTTGGTCCGGCTACGTGTGTATAATTTACAAACACTTACCTTTACCTCATATTAAACATCACATCAATGTATGTCTTAGTTTTCACTCTCGCACCAATTGACATTAGACTATTAGATAGTATCACACTAAATCTATGTTGATAATTCTTTTCTTATTAACTACCTCCTTGGTCCGGCAAGTAGCAACAAGGTGAGTTCTAACACGTGCACTCGTTAAAAAGACTTCTAAACGTAAGAATTATCAATGCATGCAATAACACTAATCAGGAATTACTTAATTACTATCATACTTTGTTAATCGCTCATGGTTCCCACAATCCTAGTTGTGGATTTAGTTACCCATAATAGCAAGAACACAATCATATTTTTAGATGAAGAAATCATGAACTTACGTAATAAGTAGAAGAAACCCAGAATCTCAACTTGAATTTCAAAGTCAAAATCTTCAAAATGAATTTAGGAAATCAAGAATTGCTAAAATTGCAAGTCAATCTCCAAAACCAAAAACTAGAACTAAAATAATAAGGTCTAACCCCCAAAAACGAGGTTTACATGCCCTATATATAGAAAAACAAGTCCCAACTAAAAAGGAAACAAAATAAGGAGATAAATTTTCTTGATGCAGTTTCGATCTACGACACTGACCTACGGACCGTGGACTGACCTACGGACCGTGGACTGACCTACGGTCCGTAGGTCCCTTCTGTAGTTTAGGACTTATGCAATTTTCCAACTTCAAAATCTCCAGCTCTCAGTTGCATTTGACGGACCAGTAGGACGGACCGTGGGTCCTCCTCTGTAGTTCCATACTTAGTTTTTTGAAATCAGTTACTGGAACCCCATTTTCTGAATCATTTGACGAAGCTGCAGGACAGCCCGTGGTTTGTAGTCGTGGTTCCACACTTAGTCAAGAATTCCTTGATTTTTCTTCAAGCTTTGCTTGTCCATCTACGGAACGTGACTGGACCTACGGTTTGTAGGTCATTTTCGTAGATGCCCTTTTCTGCACAATTCTTCAGCTATGTCTCTATACTTTCACATCCGAACTTATTTCCCGCAAACATGATAAAAACACATTAATACCAATACAAAATGTCCCTAGACACACACAATTTTTAAATGAAATGTATTAAAAATACTGTAAACTCACGGTATATCAACATCTTCAACTTAAATTCGTTGTTTCTCCTCAAGCGATGCACTACGACTCTAAACGACACTTGTATAGAAGCAAACATTCAAGCTCAAGCAATCACATGGCTTTCTATCCCGACTCTCTTTTCTAGTGCAAATCATTTCTCTTAGACTCAACAAGCTAACTTATGCGGATCAAGATATGACAAAGATCGACCAATCAACACACAACATACACTGTTTTGCTATCACCAAGGTACCAACTCTCCGACAATGTAACTTGTTCCCTTACCTCAAACAAAATCTCTTTTTCACACAATGAATATGATTTTGAGTACAAGGATTCATTCAACACTCACGCTCAGAAGTAATTTCAAGTACAATTAGTGTTCAATATCATAGGCTTGCCCTTATTTTCACTGCTTAGACTCTCCAAACTAGTTGCTAGGATCATTATAGGACTTTTCTTAGCTTGTAACGTAGGCTCAGGGTCAGGTGTGGTACATTTAGGTACTTTTTAATGACTTTCCGCCTTCCTTGACATTACATTGACTATTTACCTCTTCCTTGACCTATTCTTGGCAACTTTTCATCTCAATTTCTTTCCCTTAATTCTTTTCAACCAAGGATGTGACTTTTGATTTTTTAGACTCTTATTTCTCACTTTCTTTTTCTTTTATTTCTTTGAACACTTTTCTTTTGCTTCTTTTGCACAAAGTCACATCCTCTTTCATACTTTTTCTCTTTTCAACACTAAACTCTTTTCATACCCCTTTTTCGTTTGGTTTCCTTTTTCATAGCCACCCTCAACTTATGCATTTTGCGTTGGTTGAGGTGCACAATGTCCGATGTTGGACCAGGGCCAAGATCAAGGTAACTTTTGGGCTTAGCCACTTTCAACGTAGGATTTTGGCCTAAGTCAAGGTGCACATGTCCAAGGAGGGACTGGGGCTAAGACAATGTTTTAAAGGGAAGGTGAGTTAAGTGAATCAAAAGAATTGGTCAATTTTAGGCTCAAATATTTGGATCAAAAGGGAATAATGCTACCATTTGGTTAGATCATTTTAGGCTTAAGTGGACTAATTTGAACAATGGCCTATGATCACTTCCTAACTTCTAGCATAGATTATCCTAGCAGGACCAACATAACAAGTTCTAGATTGGCATAACACTGTCTGAACAATCAACTATTCTTACACACTCTTGGCACATCATTTCATTATCAGATTATCAGTTACCTAGTTCAAGTTTTAGCTCAAATCATGTGGTCAAGTTTGGTTCATTATCGTGTCATATTAAGAGCCAACACATTCAACTCATTCTAGCCTACAAATTTAGCACATATCACAATTTTTAGATGGGTATCATTTTTTTTATTATTGACTCTGCCATCATGCTTCATTCTTTCTCATGTTTCTACACATTCAATCCTAACACATGCCGGTTCAATAGAAATTAAAAACAGTCTCTTGGGGAAAAAGAACACAGGCAAGAAAACCCCAAGAAAGGATTATGAGTTGGGTTACTCAGACTTCACCCCATCACTCATTATTAATTTACCCCACCCACACCAAAATAGAGTGCAATTGTCCTCAATGCACAAAAATAAGCAATAAAGAGTAGGGTGAAGGTGAAGCAAACCTGTGGCGCAAATGCGCCGAAAAACTCAACAAGTGGGTGGGTCCG